AGCAGTAAAGATGGTGTCCATGGGCTTGGCCTGGCTCAACACAATATGCCTACATTTTGCTCTGACCAAGGGGAGCTGGCATGATCTACTCAGGGACCTAAAATTTAAGGATGCGTGTTTGGCTAAACATAAAAATTACTTTTGATTAACATTTTATGCACAAACATTTTCAAATAACTTTCCTTTTCCTTTCTTTTTAAGTAAAATGATTACTTTTTCTTACTTACTGTCAAAGTAACTAATTTCTAACTTTAACCAATAAAAAAATTATTTATTTTCAAACTCACTTTTTACTTACAAGTAAATTTACTTAAAAGTAAGCTCTATTGTACAGACACTTCAAGTATGGTAAAGTGTATGTCAACTCGTATTTACCATAGTCATTTTTCTTTCTTTATCAGAAATATTAAATATTTTTAACTTATATTTATTATTAAATACAAATATGTAGTATATTTAAATATTTTAATAAGAAAAATTAATAACAAATGTAAAATTAAATTTATATAAATGAAGAATTTAATCAACGTATTGACAACGTTTCGTATCAGTACTTCTTTAAAAAATTGAGTGTCAACGTGTGTCGGACACGTGTCATTAAGCATAGCGAAAACGTGTTGAACAACTTGATTGTACAGATGAGAAGGCACTTGCATGTTTGGCTAAGCTTAAAAATATCGTAAAAAGTTTTCAACTTTAAATGTTGATATTTTTCTTCCTATCCCTAAATAAAAACCTTAAGTATTATGAAAGCAACTCTTATCTTATCGTCAAAATAAGTAATTTATTTTTAACTTTGACATACTTATTTACTTATATGTAAACTTTTTAAGCATAACCTAACATGCTCAAACTAACATATAAGTTGAAGCTTAATGCTCTGAGATAATTCAGAAATGAAAAAGATTTGCAAGAATTTTGAATAATTCAAATTTGCAAACTGTATGTGTAAGTTTCAGCTAAATTAGGAAGAGTATGGTATAGTGTTCCTATAATATCCTGAAATTTTCTTTATACTCATTGATGAAAGCTAAGGGACCCAATTGATAATTTTCAATAGTTGAAGGACATGTGCACTTTTTCAATTTTAAATTTTGGTAAAGAAATGATCATTGAATTACATGTTTAGGTAAGGAAGAGACTATGGGATTGCCGTATATATATATATATATGGGTGAAAGTTATATTAGGAAGATTCATTCATTGATCAATTTTTATCATATATGAGCACATCTTCCAAGCTATATAAGAAGGCATGTCAAACACATAATACACACACAAAAACATACGAAATTTATTTGTCAGTTGTAGAACTTAAATTATCCCGTACATGTTATCCCATCGAATAAAAAAGGTAAGTGTAGTAATACTAATTGTTCTTTCAATATTTAAATTATAAAAATTTATATTATGAATATGATAATACAAATATCCAAGTTACGATTATGATAAGGGTCATATATGTGTAAGATAAAAAAAATGGAATTTAGTAGCACTATGCACGAGAATTATAGCTAAAGAGTTCGGATTTTAATTCCCGTATCTCCATATGTATGTTATGATTTTCCATATTTAAATATGAGATGCAATTCGTTATTACTCATTTACTGAGATTTATGTCTCACATGTATATGTTAAATCTTTTATATGTAATTAAAAAGATGGGTTCAAGGTGGTCGGAGGTGGATTGTACTTGCGTTGGTAAAAAGATAGAATAACTTATATAGTTTAAGGATTTTTAGTAATGTTCATCGTATTTCTCTTTAAACAATTTAAATCTTTACATTTTAAGAAAATATTATGTTTTTCTTTTGTTTATAAAAGTATTCTTTACGATATATATATGTATAATGATTCCAAATGTAAAAATTGAGGTCGTTACAATTTCAGTCTGAAAGTGTTAGTTCCCAAAATACACTCGGAGAACATGGTTTTTACCTAATTTGACACTGTTCCTTTATTGAATCAATGATTTCAAAGTCGGAAGTTTACAAAATCAAGATGGTTTTAAAATAAATCTAGTCTCAATAAGAAAATTTAAATCTTAAAGCTTCACTCATTTCAAATCAATAAATACTTAATGCTCTATTTTGATTTTCAAGTAAGTTTTTGATCTTCAATCTTAGGTTGTCCGCTTCATATTTTGTTGTGGTAGGATATGCACGACATTATAATAACTTTCTTAGCCCTTATTGGATCTTCATTATTTTCAAAATATACATTCTTCAATAAAATATTTTTTTTATTTTTTAACCATGTTCTCCGTCAATTTACTATTCCAAAATATATTTTTACAATAAAATGGGGATAAAACATGCCCTTATTAGGATTTTGCTTAGCTTAACGCAAATTCAGCACATGATCTGTAATGACCCAGATCTCTATACCCAATCCGTTATCATATCATACGTACTGTCCGTTTTGGGAAAGCCTAGGCCCATCTTACCCCTCAAGGCTTTTTGACGCATCCTCCAGGATTCAAATCCAAGATCTCCATCATATGGGAGACTTAAGTTGAATCCTGGTACCGATAACGACTTGGGTATAGAGACTTGGGTCGTTACATGATCAACAATCAAAGAATGTTAGAACTTTAGGAATTTCACATATTAGTTTAAACAAAGAAATTGTACCTTTGTCCACTGAATTCTGAGAGATCATAATTGAAAAGCAATTGTACAAGAATTTTGTTTTTTCTGTCCTTTATTATGTACTATACTGATGGAATTTTGTACATACTTGATGGATAGAGAGAAAACAAGCTTTTTTCAATTTATAGATTGTTTGAACGTATATCCATCTTCATCCAATACTCCATTTACTTCATTAATTACAAAGTATAAGCATATCTTAAAAAGTCTTAATCGGATGCCGAGGCGTAAGCCTCAAGACAACATCCTTTTCCCCATTACTATCAGCGTTTTTCTCATTCTTTATCCTCTACTAGCAATCATGTATTCTCCTTCCCCTTTCCCTTTTGTGTCCTTCTGTGTAAAGACATGAAAAAGAAAATAAAAGAGCCCAGCTGACATTCTGGATTATCAGAAAATTGCCCAAAAAGCTAAAGCCAATAACAAAATCCATGGAAAGTGCACGTGGCCTCGAGGCATAAACCTCACAAATGGCCTTTAAGAAGTAAGTTTAGAGGTGTTTTATGAAAGCTTCACATAATGCGGGATTCGAGGTGTAAGCCTCGAATAGTTGTTTTAAACAATAAATATATGTAAACTTCAATATACAAATTTTATGCATAATTGATCAACATTAAAGAATCACTTTCACTTGCTTCATTAAACCATTTACTCCATTAAACTTTCAATAATGTTTCATGAATTTACTATATAAACTATTCTTACAATTCTTTCAACAACGGTCCAAAATCTAGTGTTCTCAACATCATTTAATGATGTTTCAACCAATCATCGTGGAACCGAAATTTCCCTGATTACATCTGAATTGTATATTTGGCTTCTTGTTTGATTGAGTTTAATTTACATACTTTGGCCAAAATAAAAATCACCCTTATAATCCTAAATTATATCATATAAATGAATCCAAATTCCAACTAAGCTTATATTATGAAATATCCTAGATGACACTAAGGAAAGTTGGACAACCTCTTTGGTGATGCACGGCACTATTACTAATTCCCAATTAAATAATTATTGTCCTCATGATATCATATCATAATAATACCATCCATCATAATTGTATCGCCATTGTGTGATCATTATTGTCAAAAGTGCTATTTAACAGTCATCATAACATGTAATTATGATTTTCATCACTAACATTGTGCCAACACCCTATCAAGGGGCTGTAGATAATTTCATTATGAAGTTAAGTGAAACTCCTTTCAATTACGTGCATAAGGCATAATTGCCTGAAATAATATGAAATGCATAATATTGACCAGTCTAATAACGAATTATCACCTAATGCACCTTTCACATTTCGTCATGCTTGTCCCCTAGGCAAAAGCCATCAATTAGCATTTCCCCTTTCTGAAACAAAGTATATTAAGCCTTTGGAATACAATTTTATTTCTCTGAATAGATTCCCTCTTCTTCTTCTTAGATCATGACACTACATCACAATACTCGTCCAAGGATACCGAGCTTACCCATTCCATCTTATTCCTTGAATTCATACTTTCGGCCCACAAAGATTCCTCCAATAACCCACAATTATAGTTAGTATCCAACTCTTCCAATCTTTCCCAATACTCTCCACCTCATTCTTATATTTCTCTTTAGAATTTGCGAACTTGCTCTCCATATGGCAAGAAAATTTTATCCACCTCATTCTAAATCAAGAACCTTGAGGTGGCCAGATTATCATCCTAAGATGCACGTCAACAAAATATTTTCATTTAAGAAATAGTGACATGAGATCTTTACGTAATTCTACCCGGAAAAGATTTTCATTTTGCTTCTGCTTAACTTTGATCAGTGCTCAAATTTTATAATTCTCATTTCAGATCCTTCATGTTTTTAGCGAAAAACATGAAAAGGTAAAATATTCTAGTAGTTAATGCTAGATAATACTAAACCCTAGCAGGAAAGTCTAAATTTATACTCTTTACTTTTCTTTCATTTTCCGTTTTGACAATGCAAAACAAATTACGTCACCCAATTTTCCATTCTTTTCTTCGTCCTTTTTTTTTTTTTTTTTTTACATAAAAGAAATCTTCTCACTCAACTGAAACTTTGAAGCAGATGTTACAATAAATAGAAACATTTTCAAGGCAGATATAAACAATTGGAAGAAGAACAAAATGGTAAAAGAAAATCCACGAGCCCAACAGCACTAAAAAATACATCTCAGGCATAAATAAGGATACATTTTACCAAATTAGAACCAAAAACCAACAGTAAATTATATTCCCTTCCTTCAGTCGAACATGTAATTAAATTGATAAAATTCATTTCCTATTTCAACACAAAGATTGGATATTGAAGAAGTTTTTCGAACACGAAGAGTGTGACACAAAGACAAACCTGATTCATTAAGATAACGGAAGACAAGATAATTCAATTCGGCCGATGTTAGAGAGATCATTGCCACAGATCGCCGGTCGGAATTTGACGGTGGGGTAGGGTGGGATGGGAGTCGGAGTCGGAGTCGGAGTGTGAGTGTCGTTACGTTTAGAATAGAACTTATAAACGCTCATACTGTCCGTGGGCCTTGGCTAACCCAATATGTCTAAATGCAGGACCAACCCAATATATGATCCTAGGCAAATTTAAGGTCCTAAATCGCTAAAATTTGCCACCAAGCCTTTTGATAGTGGCTAACTACCGGTCAGACGTATATAAGGAAAATTTTACTTGTACATAATTTGTCTTATCTAAGGGTGTCCACCAGGGTTTGGCTAACCCAATATGTCTAAATGCAGGACCAACCCAATATATGATCCTAGGCAAATTTAAGGTCCTGAATCGCTAAAATTTGCCACCAAGCCTTTTGATAGTGGCTAACTACCGGTCAGACGTATATAAGGAAAATTCTACTTGTACATAATTTGTCTTACCTAAGGGTGTCCACCCAGTCCATGGTGGACACCCTTAGGTAAGACAAACTATGTCCACCTTGGTGGACACCCTTAGGTAAGACAAATTATGTAACACTAGCATAGCTCCTATTAAAAACTTACGAAAATGAATAATATTATTTATTATTATAATGATGGAATATCAATAATGTGACAGTCTATATAGAATAATGTAATTGGACAATTTAATTTTTATGAGAAGAGAAGTGCAGGAGGTAGAGTAAAAAATGTAAGGAACAACGGGTTGTCAAATAATCAATATTCCATTATTATGATGATAAATAACATTATTCTACAAAAATACCTTTAAAAAATCTTTATAACCCTTCATTTAGCTCCCATTAAATTATAATTCATTTTTCTCTCTTTTTTTATCAATCACATATTCTCCAATAAATAATATTATACATAAACTAAAAAAATTTCTTCTTTTTTAATCACACATTCTTCAAAAAATTATTATTCTCCTCATTATAATGTGAAATAATGGGATCAAACTGGTGCTAAATACGGGGCTAAAATATAAAATACTATAATTTCCATTATTATAACCATGTTTCATACACTATAAACAACATATTGAAAAGCGGAGATTTACAAGTTGAAAATATGACCTAAACCCTTCAAATCAATCAAAATCAAAATCAAAATTATAAGAGAAATTCTTTCACAAATCAAAATCATATAAGATCAAGGGCTGCTTCAACAACATTTTCTTCAAAATTTTCTTTTCCACATTTGCAAATAATTTTGTACCAATAATCTTGCACAAATCTATAGGTTTGCAAATTTCTAACTTTTGATTCAATTAGATGATATTTTGTTTGATTATTGAGTAACAAACTATATATTTCATGATTACTGAGTATAAAGGAAGCAATTATAGGCCAATTTCAGATGATAACTACTGATTAATGCCCTTATATAACTATTGGAATCATGAACACGATTTTCACCTTGATTTAGATGTTGAGAATTGTTTATTCTAGTACATATGAAATTTCATCTTTAGATTAATGATTTTGAGTTAGTATATATTAAAATTCAAATTTGTATTAATTGGATTGAGTTAGTGTTGACCTTCGAAAAATGATCAACAAATTCCCTTTACCTAGTTAGAGTTTTCTCCCTCTAAACTCACTAATTCTTTAGCATGAGTAAGAAGATAAATTGCTACTTGGAAGGGGAATTTCTCATATTTGCATGCCTTTCTCGGTTCTCTATTATCAATATTTATAAATTTCTAGTAAGTCTTTGTTAAGTCATTTTTCTAATGACATATGGCAGTCATTGATTAACTTAACTGGCTTCTAATTGAATATGTTATCTTGTTCACGTTTTATCCACCAATATAATCCTCATAGTTTTGATGAAGTTATCCGCTCGCTTTTTATATTCAAGATCACTTATGAGTTTTCACGCTATTAATATTTACTAACCTCTTGTTCTAAGTTTACATATATTTCAGCTCTTTAAAATGCCCACTTAAATACATAGGCCCGCTTATGATTCCTTGTATATTAATTGATAACAATTAATGTACATGAAAAATTAACATTTGATCAATTCAAGCGATGCATGCAATAAGTTTGTGAAAATGTAACTACAAATTTTGCTTTCAACTAAAAAGTGACATGATGTAACACTTTATTATTTTTTGCATATGAATTAAGTTGCTAGAATATAAAAGTGACATGCACTTTGACTTTTATTTAAGAAAGTCACAGATTGTCTCGTTTTAATTCATTTTTTGATCAATGAAAGATATGCATATGCGTGTTTATGAAAACTAAAATAGGAATATGAATTAAAAATTTCTTTATATAAACAAGTAACATGATATAATACTTTGTCTTGATATGAATTAATATATTGAAATTTGAAAGTGACACACTTTGTCACTTTAAAAAAAAAAAATCTCACACTATTTCACTGTATTTTTTTTGTAAATATGGATAAAATTAATGTTTCCATCTATTATGGATGTAAAAATCACTTTTTTGGAGCCAAAGTATAGCACTATTAAAAAGTATTATCCCACTTATTCATTAAAAAGTGACATCATATTATTTTTTTAGTACAACTACTATTATAAAAATTCTTGCCATTGCTACTTTATGTTGTATTGTTGTTATTCGTAACCAATCTCATCAATACAATAATTGGTGTATCATAAGCTAAATTACACAACAATTTTTTTTTTTTTTTGCAATTCAAACTGTATGTATATGTCACATTTCTTAAGGATAACAAATTATTTGTTTTTTTTCCCCTTTAAATTCTTGTTTTGGTGTGTATCTCTTTTTTCTTATTTACGGTCTATATTTTGTCACTCATTGGGTGATATTTTTGTTATATTTTTAAACTATTCACCGTCCTTTGAATTTAAATTCGATCTTTAAATTTACGGTTTATGATTTAAACTTCACAATTTTTTACACTGATATCGAAGAGAAAGAAATAAAAAGAAAAAGAAATAATCATGGTTTTGCATTTAATAATTCATGCAAGATAATTTTCAATATTTAAACTTCCATAACATATTTATTATATTCACGTTGTAAGCTTTCTAACAGATTTTGAATCTCTTAAAATGAATAACCATACCGTAAAATAGTGTCAAACAAAATAATAATAATAATAATAATAATAATAATAATAATAATAATATCTCAATTGGGAAGGAGGGTTGCCGGCTTGTGTTTGGGATAAAATTGAGCGTAATTATTGTGGTCGTCGCCACCATGGAAGCAGACCGGAGCCTCTTCGCGCAGAGGCGCAGCAGTTCCGATCTACACCGGAGCTCAGATCACCGCTGCAACGACGCTAGTGTGGTTTTGGGGGTGGTTTCTTCTTCCTCCTTGCTTAGTCGACATATTTGGTATTTTAGGATGATTTTTACTTGTTGGTACGATGGTGGTGTTTGTAGGGGTGGTGGTGCGTTGTGCGACAGTGGTGTGGTGGTTTTGAGGGGACTGTAGCAGGGATGATTTTTATTTGTTATTGTTGGTACGGTGTGGTGTCTGTGGGTGTGGTGGTATGTTGTGGAGGTGGTGTGGCGGTGGTGGTGGGGTGAGGGTGGTCGTAGTGTTGGTGGTGAATCTGGCGGTTGGGGGTGGATTTGGACGGTTTTCTGTGTGGTGGTGGTGATGGTGTTTGTGTGGTGGCTGTTTTGTGTTGGTGGTGGTGATAGTGTTTATGTGGTAGCAGTTTTGTGGTGGCGGTGGCAGTGCAGTGGATGTGGCAATTATTTGGTTAATTTGTGACCAACTATTTGGTTATCCATGACTGTGGAAGAATATGTGACCATTTAATTTGGAAACTTATGATCGAAGAATAAATTGTGACCTATAAATTTTTTGTCTGTGACCATTAAATAATCCGTGACCGACTAATTTGAAAATCTGTGACCGACTAATAAATTGTGGCCTTTAAGTTTTTTGATCTGTTACTATTAAATAATCAGTGATCAATTAATTTAATAATATGTGACCTGCAAATAAATTGTAAACGAAAATTAATTTTTAACTAATTAATATTAATTAATTAATAAATACCTGATTTTTGCAAGTTTGAAACTTAACACTAGATATTTGCAATTGTCAAAGTTAATACCTGATTTGTGAACTCTACACTACAAAAATACCTTAAATATAACCTGATTTTTGCAATTGTCAAAGTTAATACCCGATTTGTGAACTCTTCCCAAATCACAACTTCACGGTCCATTCTACGATTTTGAGCATCTTGTATGGAATTTCAAAGAGTGCTTATCAAATAGTTAATTAGGAAACATGCATAAAAAATAAAGCTATTTTATGTTTGAAAATGCTTTCAAAGTTCAAAAAACTCAAACGTCCTAAAAAATCGTAGATAAGTTCAAATATCATTTTTTATTTTTCATATAATTTACAAAAAAATAATGTCAATGTATATCATCGATGATCATTGAATAAGTTCCTTTGGCCATTATTGACGATAATATTATCGGTAATGTCACAGCCAACCACGGTGCTTTAGTCATTGGCAAAAGTCGTCGGTACCGCCAATAAAATTTATTTTTCTATATATATATATATATATATATTTTAAAAAAAATTATGTGTTATCTATAACTAAGTTTAAACATCTTTTTATTTTTTTCTCCATAATATTATCGACACAAATCGATACATTTGTAATTTAAATGAACTACTGAAAGTTATATTTTGTTGATCATCGACTCACATTTGTCGGTAATTACCGACAGCAACATTATTGGTATACCATCATCATTGAAGATGCTTGGATCACTTGCGAAAGTCCATGGTAGCACCGAAAGAAAATTATTTTCTCTATAGAGGATCCAACGTGCAGAACACGACAATCATTAAAAATTCATGAATTAGAGATGCTACAATATGCTCTTTCCTATAACTTCTTATACCAGACCAACCCACTAAAATGCAAATAGGGATAAGAAATGTTGTTAATATCACGAAAAATAAAGAGATACCATCTATGCCCA